TTAATGGGAGGCATAGCTTAAAAAACAAGCTGGTGTGCTGTGTCCTTTGCTGCAGCTGTTTTTACAGATGTGCCTAGAAAGCCACTTGCCTTCATACAGCTGATGTACACCTGTTCTGTATGACTCTGTTACTGCTATCTTCCATGACACTCCTTGCCCTTCCAGGAAAGCAGTCACTTTTATATGCTTGAAAAGCACCACAAATGTTAACTGTGGCCAGGCAGTTAGTACACTGCTATCGTTTTTTGCGCAACTGTCTCTCTCATCAGACTACAAGTTCCAGAGGCTCTAAAACACACTCTCCTCTCATCTGCCCAAGCAAGGTATCTGGCCTAGAGGTAGAACCAAAAACATGTTGTCTTAGTGAACACAATAAACCATCTTCATTCTGACCCATTTGTTTTCACTTTACAAAAGCAGCTTAATAAATTGGATCGTTTCGTTCTTCATCTCACGGTGTTTTCAAAGAATCATTTCTGAGGAAAGGGAGACAGCTGTCCAAGAAAGGACTGTTGTGAGAAGGAATAACTGATAGCTGACAGCAAGGCAAGGAAGCAAAACGAGTCTACTAGGCCAGAAAGCACAATTATTTCCATGGTCTAAATATCTATCAGACGCATCCACCCTGTGCATCTCCACAGCCACTGCGAAGCTGTGAGGAGTGAGGGCTCTGCAGATCAACTGCCTGGGCCAAATTGTGGCTTCACCACTTACTAGTTCAGCAGCTGTGGGCACGTAAGTAACTGCAAAGCATCACTTTCCTTTTCTGAAAAATGTGGATGACAACTGAGCCTACCTTGTAAGATTAAATGAGAAAATGTGTAAAGCACACAGCTCAGTGCTTGCACACACTAGAGGTTTAATAAATGATAGCTACTATTATTCATATTATTTTTAATGCATTCTACCATTTATTTCCTGTGTGAATGACTCTAAGTTTCCAAACTAATTCTCTTGCCAGGTTTCCCTACATGCCATTCATCAGTGAAGCCAGAAAATGCTGTAAGTCCCTGGATGGTGGTTAATCTCTGGAGGTGCAATGCCACACCTGTGGGCCTCCTGGCACGCCTTCTGAGGCTGCCCTGAGGGAGCGGTGGCTCTGGGCTGGGCCTGCCTGTCCCACACCTCCTCTACAAGGCCAGCTAGAGCTGAGGGGGATCCTGCCTCACTTAGCTCACTATGCAGAAAGCCCTGTGCCCTTCCAGATAAATGGTTCCAGGAATAATTGGCCGGCCATGTTATTTGGCTCAGAAAAGCTCAGCTTGTCAGTTTTAGGCCACTCAACCAACAGCTATAGTATTGATTAGCTCTGGGCGGCCTAAGATGCAGCATACATCCTTCCTGATCTGGCAGATTCCCCAGAGTTTGCTTCTCTCTCTCTCTCTGTGTGTGTGTGTGTGTGTGTGTGTGTGTGTGTGTGTATGTGAGAGAGAGAGACAGACAGAGAGAGAGATCTCAAAATCCCCGTCAAGTACCTGAATAGACTCTCAATGTCAGGAGAAGGGCCTTGACTTCTGGTTACCATGGGATCTCAAGCACCCATGGCAGTGAGTAGCTTGATAAACGTTTGTCTTAATGGATGGAACAACCCATTAGGTTTTTTGTGGGGATTAAAGGAAAATCAGTCTGAACTAAGAAGACTATTCCCAGCCAGGTGTGGTGGCTCACACCTATAATCCCAGCACTTTGGGAGGCTGAGGCGGGTGGATCACCTGAGGTCAGGAGTTCAAGCCTGGCCAACATGGTGAAACCTGGTCTCTACTAAAAATACAAAAAAAATTAGCTGGGTGTGGTGGTGGGCACCTGTAATTCCAGCTACTTGGGAAGCTGAGGCAGGAGAATCACTTGAACCTGGGAGGCAGAGGTTGCAGTGAGCCGAGATCGCGCTACTGTACTCTAGCCTGGGACAGGGTAAGACTCCAACTCAAAAAAAAAAAAAAAAAAAAAGAGAAGGCCGTTCTCTTTCTAGCTGTAAGTTAGAGCACGCAGGACCCTGGCCTAGGAAACGGTGCCCTGGCAGGTTCTGCTGCCCCAGAGCTTGTGTGAAGGTATAAGCCCGACCTGGGCAGGTTCGTTTCCACCACCTGCTAAGGGGCGAATCACTTGTCCTCAAGTTCATTCCGACGTCACATGGTGTTAATTTAGATAATGGATTATAATACAATTTGATAACTGTTTGAATTCCATATTTGGTATATCTAATAGCTAAAGACAGGGGTAGTGGTGGGCTGCCAGGATATTCCCTGGAGTCATTCAGCCTGCATTTTGAAAGGACTGTTTTATTTAGGGGCATTCTCCTGTGAATAGTAATATTAGCATTAGTGAAAAATTCCTACTCCAACAATCCATTCTCGTTACATGGCAATGTAAGCGGTGTTCACGTAAGTCTAGGGAAAACGCTACTTCAATCTCTATTACGGAGACCTGTGTTAAAGACTAAGCCAAAAGACATTTTTCTTCTATCAATTAAAAACAAGAAATCTCTTCACTGCCCTCTTGGAAAACTGGCCTAGCTGGCCTAATGACAAGCCAGTCGTTGTCACAGGTGCTTAAGACCCAGTGGTAGGCCGGGCGCGGTGGCTCACGCCTGTAATCCCAGCACTTTGGGAGGCCGAGACGGGCGGATCACGAGGTCAGGAGATCGAGACCATCCTGGCTAATACCGTGAAACCCCGTCTCTACTAAAAATACAAAAAACTAGCCGGGCGAGGTGGCGGGCGCCTGTAGTCCCAGCTACTCCGGAGGCTGAGGCAGGAAAATGGCGTAAACCCAGGAGGCGGAGCTTGCAGTGAGCTGAGATCGGGCCACTGCACTCCAGCCCGGGCTACAGAGCAAGACTCCGTCTCAAAAAAAAAAAAAAAAAAAAAGACCCAGTGGTAAACAAATTACCATTTCTAAAACATGTCCCTGTGTTATTCTTAGATAAGTGAGTTTTCCAGACCTTTCCAGTGTGTTCTGCAGCAGTGTCCTATCTGTGGTTTGTTTAGCGGAGACTTTCCCTAGTTTATAAAAACGCTATATGTGGGCCAGGCGCGGAGGCTCACATCTGTAACCCCAGCACTTTAGCAGGCTGAGGCGGGTGGATCACTTGAGGTCAGGAGTTCAAGACCAGCCTGGTCAACATGGTGAAACCCCGTCATTACTAAAAACACAAAAGTTAGCCGGGCGTGGTGACACATGTCTGTAATCCCAGCTACTTGGGAGGCTGAGGCAGGAGAAATGCTTGAACCCAGGAGGTGGAGGTTGCAGTGAGCAGAGATTGCGCCACTGCACTCCAGCCTGGACGACAGAGTAAAACTCCGCCTCAGCAAAAAAAAAAAAAAAAAAAAAAAAAAAGCTAGATATGATTCTCTTATTTGTAAAAGAGATAATCTTTATAGCAAAGATCCAGTGTTGCTTTCTAAATCTTAGCAGACAAAAAAAAAAAAAAAAAAAATTAAAGAAACTGATTTATGACGTCCTTATAAGCAAATCACATCTTCTACATAAGAGAAGAAAAAAATGAGTATTTTTGTGTAGTAGGAAGACAGAAAAATTCTTCCCCAGTTAAAAGAGAGACCTATCTTTTGAAGCGCTACAGAAACTTTCAAAAATACAACGAAACTGTATTTAATTTTAAAAGTAAACTGAGTCCTTAAAGCATATTTGCGGGTAGACGACCTAAAGGAAACAGTGATGGAGCTCCATGAACTTAAACAGGGCAATGTTGTCAAAGCTCCAAAATCACCAGGGATAGGTCCAATTAAAGTACCATCCAATGAAAACATATCTCCAAGTTTGAAGGGTGTTACAAAACTGAGTTAGAAACAAAGTCAAATAAAAAGTGAAAGCAAAACTAGGAAATTTGGGAAAATTAAACGGGGGGGAATTTTAACATGGATCTTGTTTAGCCTCCAAATTGTGTATTCTTTTCCTCTTCATGGGACACAACAAATTCTGCAATTTAAGCATTCGAGACTTTAAATTCTGTTGGAAAAAGTAGAGTCAAGCATGAAACCCAAGTCACCATTCATCCTACCCATGAAAGAGAAACCAGCAAAGCCAGAAAGCATGCGTGGCCAGGCCAATGCAGGAGAGCACAAAATCAATTACAGAAAACTTTAATTTCTTCATCAAAGGTGCCTCGTCAGCTAGCAGAGAACTACAGCATTGTCAGGATATCAACAAGACGTCCAAGGTAACAGAAACCACCAAAAAGCAAGCACGTCTTTCGTTTGGCACATGGACAATTTATTTTCATGTTGGCATCTGTTAAAAATTCAGTCCAATAAAAGCGGCTTTGCCATGTGTGTGTGCCACGGTTACATACCATGCCACCTTTGCGGTGTCTCCACCCAGAAATACAGGCAGAGGCGCTTCTCTTCACAAATAGGTGTCACATCCCCGTTTGGAGAGAAAAATAGATTAAAAAAATATATTCTCGTTACATTTAACTATGTTCAGTGTTTATCTGCCTGCCTTCCTCTCTTCACAACATGAACTGCTTTGAGGAAGACAGAAACTAATGGCCCGTTCAAGGCTTTAACCCAGGCCCCCCGCGTGGCACCAGCTGTGCTGTTAGGTTAACTGGCAAAACTGCTCCCTGTCGGATACTTGGAGCCGGGCACAGCAACCTCTAGCTGTCCCCATCCACCCCACACACTCCTCTCCGCTGCTGACTGCTCCTGAAACTTACACCACCTATCACTGGGCAAACGAGAGTGCGGAGAGGGGTCAGACTGAGCACCCAGACGGCAGATGGGGGCAGAAGGTCCAGTCATTCCTTACACAAATCTTTTAAGTTTTAGCTGCAAAAGTCTGCTTCAGTGCTGAGGACAAAGACAATGTATGTATGTCACTATGTGCTGGAGAAGCAGAGAAACTACTTTTTAAGGTTTTCGACCCAGGTCTCACCTGAGGTATCTGAACCTGATCTTACATTTACCATGTTCATGGTGCTTTGCAATTTTTACTGTTAGATACAAAATCTTATTTGAACTGTGCAATTTATCCATGATCCTCATCTCACAAATAGTCCAAGGATACAAAACTAGTTAGTGATAAAGCTTGTACCTAAACCCAGATCTTCTGATTCTAAAGTCCCTGCAGATTAAAATGAGAAGGTAAAACATGAGGCCCTGGAGTTCTGAAACTGACAAGGCCATGGTCCCTTCACTCGCAGAGTTCTAGAGTCTGGAAGACAGTTCAACTGCGAATCAACTGTAATCCCAGCTGTTAATGGGTCACCAATGATGTACACATCTGGGCTGCTTCAGAGGGCGCCTAGCCCACAGGGGCAGCACCGTGACTGGTTATGCTTCCTTCCTTTGTTCACCCAACAAACGCTGACTCAAACACCTACTAAGAGCCAGGCTGAGGATCTGAAGAATTAGGACAAGACACACAGGTAAGAAGACCCACAGGGCTGGTAAGGGTGCGGCTGAGGTGGGATGGCTGCAGAAGTGTTCCAGTTGGAGAGAAGAGTTTATATAAAGATTCCAAGAGGTTCAGTGTGGCAGGTGTTTGAGAGAGAAAGCAGTGTGATGACAAGGAGGCCAGCAAAGGAGGCTGGGGCTGGATAAGGACAGGCCCTTGACCACACAGGTCAGTGCACCTTTATCCAAGGCACAGGCAAGTGACTAAAGGCACAGATGCTCTCATTGGTCTGTGGAGGTGGAATATGATCTCAAGGGCATGAGGCTGGGGACAGGAGGAACAGCGAAGAGGCTGTGAGGTTAACTAGGTGTCTGGACTAGAGTGGTGACAGCGGGTACGGAGAAGGGGTGTGTGGAAACCTCTACTGGGGAAGAGTTGGTGGAACTTGACTAATTAGTTTGGGGCAGATGGGGGAGAAAAACGCATCAAGGATGGCTTCTGAATTTTTGGTTTTGGAAAAAGACAATGGTTTTTCACTGAGACAGAAAAAACACAAAAGGAACAGGAAAAAGTGTTGTTATAAATCAATGAATTTACCTAAGATCCAGATGTTCTCAAATACTTTCAATGAAGAGTAATGAGCCAATTACAAATGAGTATTAAGTACTAAAAGCCCACTTTAATTTGTAATTCAAAAAATTACTGTATATAACAAAAGTAACAAAATATGCTTCTTTTAAAATGTTCTAAAATTTCCACTGATGATTCCTCAGTGAATATAAATGGACTCTTATTGTGTGTGACATTTGTTTTCCCAGCCTTGGGATGCACCTATTTCTGGACAGCAGGTTTAAAAGGAACTTAATGATAAACCTAACACAAGTGCTGGGCCATGACTGCCTTCGTCACTGACTAGCTTTGGCTTGGTCCACAGTCTCGCACAAAGGCAGAGTTCTGAGGCTGAAGAAATTAGAAGTAGCTTTCCAAAGTGGTGTCGAGATATTCTCTTTTGTATAAAGCCTCCCATTTGAGTTTATTTTCATCTTTCACACATCACAAAGAAGGGATCTTCAATTAAGAGCAGAGGCTAAATTAATTGCATCTGGGGGTGAGGGTAGATTATTGTTGATGCCCTACCAGAGTGATCTATAAACTTACACAGCATACATTAGGAAAACGATGCATTTACTCTTTAAGACTAGGAAGGTAGATTAAGAGAACATTTTCTGACAACCAGTATATCTTATGAAACATCTCAGCATCTGCAGATTTACTGTCACACTTACAACTGGGAATCCAATAGAAAGAGGAACAAAATGATTTCTGTAGTTTGCAAAAACAGAAAAAAGTATCAAACCCCACTTCCAGCTCCTTAACAATTATCTGGGTGGTCTCCTTCATTTCAGTACTGACTTGTTAATCTATTCCTGAATATTAAGGAATTAGGTCAATTAAGATATTCAAGAGTCATTTTCAAATTAAAAAAATAACTTTTGGTAAAAATATCACCATGAAACTAGTTGACAACAATAAAAAAATTTCGGCCAGGCACGGTGGCTCATGCCTATAATCCCAGCACTTTGGGAGGCCAAGGCGGGCAGATCACAAGGTTAAGAGATCGAGACCATCCTGGCTAACACGGTGAAACCCCGTCTCTACTAAAAATACAAAAAATTAACCTGGCGTGATGGTGGGCGCCTGTGGTCCCAGCTACTTGGGAGGCTGAGGCAGGAGAATGGCGTGAACCCGGGAGGCGGAGCTTGCAGTGAGCTGAGATCCCACCACTGCACTCCGGCCTGGGTGACAGAGAGAGACTCCGTCTCAACATACATACATACATACATACATACATACATAAAAATTGTACTTATTTCTATCTAAATGCCCCTGGGTCATAAAGAGCATGGTTGGGGTTGGGGAGGGGCCTCAGCACAATCCATTTAGTGCCAGGCTCCAGGTGCAAGGGCTGTGGCCCATACTGACACCCACTGTAGGGCTGTGCAGTCATGGAAATGCATCTGGGAAGAAAGGGGCAGTGGGGAGCAGCAGCGGTAGCTTTAATCTTGTGTAAGATCCAAATACTAACAGTGAGTTCACAGGGACAAACACTATGTTACAGCAAATGACATACAGTATTTATCGGTAAAATTGTAAGCTTTCTTAATTCCACAACAGTAAAGATTTTCTAGTTTGGTTGTCCTGTGCTATGAGAGGGTGAGAGAGCTGGATGGCTTTAGTTGTCCAGCTCAGTCTCTGTTGAGCATCTGTGAAGCTCTAGTCTGCTGCCGATATGGGGGTCCCTGGCAGGCGATGAACACCGAGGGCCATGCAGGCCCTGGGGAAGCTCAGTCCAACTCATAGGAAGACGATGAATTCATTCTCTTCTTCCCCTGATTGCCTGAAAAGGTAAGAGAAGGATTTGCCCCCAGCCAAAAGATGTGCCCTATGCAAACAGAATGTGACTCGAAATTTGATGAGGAATTCTATTCAGACTTTGTAAAGAAGCTAAAATATGCCATTAATTTGTGGGAATAAAATTATACCAAGGCAGTTAACATTTGGGGTTAATAACAGAAGCAGCATATAAAAAATGAAGACATATTGAATAATGAAATATTCAATAATGAAGACTGTTCGGTCTAAATAAAATATCTAAGTTTGAAACCTCAGACTTTTGAAGTATAGAAATTTTGATTCACCTTTTGTGGCAATATGCAAAAAGAACCTCTAAATGCCTGATCAAACCCCATCTGCTACACACTTTGCTGGGTAATGGCACTGTCTGTATCTATAAAAGTGCAGCTACTGATAAATATTACTCTGCGAACATCAGATTCCAAAGATGAGATTTTTGTGATTCTGCTGACAAACAGCTGTCAAGATCCCTATGTTTGGCTGGACAAAATACCAGAGGCTTAGAACAACACAACATTTTGTTATCTATTTTCTCTATAGAACTATAGAGAAATGTATAGAACTATAGAGAAAATACACAACTCGCCCAGCTCACCTAATGTTGATGCCACCGATAAGCAAAAGCCAATTTCAATCAGGTACAGCGTGCTTTGACTACAACTCCTCTTTTTCAACAGTGGAGAGGAAAAGCCAGTCCTTGTGTAGGTTGGAAGGTGGGCAGCAATGAAGGCTGGGGGCTGTTATTCCGTAATTCTGGAAGATTTCACCCAGGATGCTTGCAGCACCGATCTGATGGCCACACAACGGTGCCAGAGAACTGCCTCCAGCAACAGAATACATTTCCTCATGCCTCACAGTCCTGGAGCAGCATCCATTCTGCTCACATCCATGTCCGAAAGGGGAAGTTCTTAGGGGTTCTGCTTCGGCATATCTCAAGGACTAATTAAATCCTCATTACTACCTTCTAATTATTCAAATACTGTGGGATTACACTAGGAAAGTCCCTGCTGGCTCACGAGATGAAAAGGGTTAAATAACCTGTGTTGGTTTTGGGAATCCAGATCTAGTTCAGACCTTCAGAAAATCGCCGGTATTAACATGAATGTTTAACTAGACACCACTGTGAAATTAAAAGGGAATTCAATTAGAAGGTTTTCGAAAAATTAATTCTGACCTCTCTACATCTGTCCAAATAAATAAGCTTTCTTTCAGCATTTTCACCTAATTGCTAATCCAATAAACTAGAAGGGCATTTGTTAGTTTCATTAAGCTTAGCGTGTCATTGGGGTTAAAAATGTGGTAACTTTAATGTTAATAATTATTATACTTATTTATCTACTCAGATGACTATTCCGTATTCCCTCCAAGACTTCCTGAGAAAGAGGACAACCTATTACTAAGCCGTTTCCTATTGTTCTTTTCGAATTTCAAGACATATAAAGATTAAGAAATAAGGATAAAACAAATGTAAACTTGTCACCTACAATTTTTGTAAGATCCATTTCAGTATTTTAAGGTTATCTGAACTGTTCCTCCAATGCCTTAGGTGGCCTAATTTACACTGCTTGATTTTTTGGCAAGGTGACTTAGTAACAATTCTGTATATTGCCATATGAGATCTACAGAGAGGTTTAAAATAAAAACCAATGGCAAATATGTTACTACAGAATACTAAACTGAGGTTTTGACCATTTTTCTTTAAAATTCATACAAGTAATGAAGAAGTAAAGACCAAAAAATTTGAACTAATTTTCTTTATTTAGTTAAAAAGAAGTTCCGCTGGGCACAGTGGCTCACGCATGTAATCCTAGCACTTTGGGAGGCCGAGGCAGGCGGATCACGAGGTCAGGAGATCAAGACCATCCTGGCTAACATGGTGAATAAATACAAAAAAATTAGCCGGGCGTGGTGGCGGGCACCTGTAGTCCCAGCTGCTCGGGAGGCTGAGGCAGGAGAATGGTGTGAACCTGGGAGGCAGAGCTTGCAGTGAGCCGAGATCCCGCCACTGCACTCCAGCCTGGGCGACAGAGCAAGACTCTGTTTCAAAAAAAACCCAAAAACCCAAAACAAACAAACAAAAAGAAACCCAAAAAAATAAAACCCTTCCAGCAGCATAATACTAAATCAAGTTTTATACTGGAAAACAGAAGAAAATGTAGAGGAAGCAACACTATGTAAGAGAGTAAAGGGCCCAGTAAACATCTAAAGTTTTCCCTCCATTTGTAACCTATGATGCCATGTCTATATTTACTTGCACAAATACCTTTTATACATAGAAAATATCAAACTGTAGAAACTCACAGTTCTTTTCATCTATGTACCATGTGGGGAAATGGATTTGTGACTGATGTCCTGTGACAAAACTCAATACCAAAACCACTAGATAAAATGGGCACCGAAAAAGCGATGAGGTGGGGACAGGGACTGCAGGTTTACAAAGGACTGCTGTCAGGAAATCCGGGCACTTCACTGACCTTGCTGTCACCAGAGGTTTGTAGAACCTCTGAAACACAGGGTACATGGTTTATCAACACATGCCCTTCCTGAATGGGAACACAGGACCAAGTAGAGAAGAAAGATCAGAGCAAGGGTTCAGCTTCTTGAGACTGGGGGGAC